ACACAGAAGGTCACCTGCTCACATTAATTCTCCTTTGCTTGTTTATGGGCAATAAACAAAACAAAAATAAACAGAGGAGGTGTCCATGGGCAAAAGAAACCGCTTTTTGAGAATGAACTTTAGAAAAATGCACAGAAAATACAGGACACTATAGACTAATTAACTTTACATCACTACCTTGAAAAATACAGGTAACAATGAACAGAGGAGAAAAAAAAAAACAAAACACTTTAGCAGTATTCATTGTAGCTATGTAATCACACATAAAGACTAATGCAGTTTCAGAGTTTGTTGGCAGTTTCAGTTCAGTGCTTCTGGAGACTGAAAATCAGTCCAGCATGAATTGCATAACAAATGACTGCATTAAATCCACTTACCAGGCCTCAGAATCCAGGCATCAATCCTGAAATTCAGTACAAAGTTACACCCAGGCTGGTGAAACCATGGGCTGCCATGGAAAGAAGACCTCTCCCACCAGACTGCCCTAGCATCAGAAGTAGCAGCCATGTGACCGCAGCACCAGCTGGCACAGTGACCTGCCTGGCAGAAGATTAATCTGCCAAAAGGTTTTCAATCCAGTCAGTTGGCTGAACTGACTCACTCTGCACTCACAGATTGCTCAACCCATACAATGTAAGCCAGAGGAACAGATGAGATGGAGGAAGCTTGGGACTGAACACAGCCTCTACTCAAACCATGTTATGCACAAAGCCAAGCATCACACTGAGATGTTCATAGAGGGGCAAATACGTCAGTCTTTGCAACTAACTACTCAATAATTGAGATTTATCTCAAAGGAAGTTCCATTTCCCTACCATGACCATGACTGAGAGGTCTGCAGTCCTGTTAGAAAGCATAGACTTCAGACCAATATGGAGCTTCTGAAATTGGAAGCTAAATGCAGAGCAAATACATACTTCCACACAGAACCTGTCAAACTATGTCTAAAAAATTGATTTTACTTTAGGAGAATGCTCCAGTGCAATACTGCACATGAATCAACCGGATTAGCAAATTTATTTTGTTGCAACTGAGGAATCTGCCATGTCTTCAAAGACAAGATATTTTCATTAGCTGCAACTCCCTGAATGAAAAGGAAACATCTGCAGCATCCACAAGATACTCTGTACAATGTCTAGTATCAGATATACCCACCAGCCAATATTAAGCTATAATTAAGCTATTTTGGATTTTCCTTATCAGCAGAATCCATCTTTGATTCAGGTACAAATCAAACACTTTATTATTCCTACCACTAAAAGAGATCCTTATGGAAAAACGTATAGATGACTGTAATAGATCATTAAAATATCACAGAAAAGGCAATTCAGATACAAATTTAGACTCTGCAGTACTAACTAGCAATGTATTAAATTACTGAAAATTTATATACAAGAGTGATAAAGATCCCCAAAAGCAAAATACTTGAAAAAACTCATTGGAATCAAACAAAAATACATAGCCTAAAATATGTTCCATTTCTTTGCCCCTTCTTCTTGTGTAAAGAGTGTGTTTCTGACACTTGCAGAGCATGTTTCCTAAATGGCAAATGGCTGCCAAAGATGAAATGTTGCAGCTGACACTATGGAAGTTTGGCTCTTTTCTTTATTCCCTTAGGGGAGTTATCACACAAGCATTTACCTCTGGCAACCCATTCTAATGCACATTGTGATATTGTCTCATTTGGACACAGACTGGCAAAAATTATGCATAGTTTACATAGAGACTATCTCATATTTTCAAGGCCTGGTCTTCAACATGGTTAATTGAAAACATGATTCCCTTTATTCTTCATGCTTTGGTTGTCAGTCACCACCATACATTTCTCTAGTGCAAGCACTGCCTCCCCCTTTTCTAAATGTCATTCCTGTATGTTTTCCAAAGGGAAAAAGCCATGGAACAATGATATCCTCGTACTTGATTTATTCTGCTGTCCACCTTTTCTTAAAACAACATATTTAATTTCATTTTCAGGTGCTTTGGTTTGCATATCAGGGAAATTGAATGGCATGATTTACAAATGAAGTTATAAAGAGAACTTCAAACAGGAATACACAGCATGATACTTGTCTGCCTATAATAGAGGGGGAGTAATTCTGTGTTCTTAGGAGAAGTAGCTATTGGATTTTTTTGAAATCTACAGGTGACTGTATGCTTATGCTGGAGTTTATCCCTTCCCAGATACCCTTTGAATTTCTACCCATGCACTTCTCCATTATGAGGACAACCCCTGTGCTTCAGGCATAGGTTATCCACCATGGGGTTTTTCTAAGTGTCTTCAAAGTAAGGCTCCTCTGGCCTTGCCAGTCCTTCCCAGGGAACCAAGGAAAGCATGGATACTTATATGCCACCTGCCCACTGTGTGAAGTATCTGGGCATAAGAAACATTGTCTGCTAGAAGCATCCTTTACCTCAGAGCACCAAGTCTCATTCCCAACCTAAAGAGAGCCAGCTCATGCTTGCATGCACTGTAAAGCAACCTGTTCCATTTTTCATCCCCCTAAACCACCTTCTATAACACTTCAGCTGTCTATTGATATACCACATTATTTAAGACTCAAATGTCCACCTACCTACATTTTCTATCCCTTCCAAACCTTTACACTTTGGAAGAACTGTCATAAATCTGTGTTGCAAACAATTATTTCTCTCAGCGCCATCATTGGGAGACAACAGTCTTTGGAACCAAAAGAAAATATGTTTAAACAAAAGAAACTATCTTTCACATTTCAGTGCAGAATGTTTAAGCCACGTTTTATTTTAAAACTAAGATATTATTGACTGCTTAGTGGCACATCTATAAATAGCATTAGTGAATGCATCAGAGTTCTGTATGATGCCGTCTCTCCTTCACCCATGCTTTCCTATAGGAAACCAGTCACTGGTTTCCTATTACTGCAGTACTGCAGGAATATGATGGCGTAGAACCAATAACACTGTCAAAAGCAACAAACAAAAATTTCCTGGCAGCTACATATAGAGATGGATGGGAAGAAGAAAATTCAAAAGCTACCCAAATGACAGTGTGTAAAATATGTCAGAAATACCAAGAAAACAAAGACAACTCCTGTAATAAAGAGGAAGAAAGGCTCCCTTGCATTTTATAGCTTCTTTCTTCCAACTTCCAATTTAATTTACTGAGATTTCCAGACTATGTATCCTCTTCAGTGGTTGCACTTTGTAATGAATTAAATACAAAAATAAGTGACTGAATCAATATAGCTATTAATGATGATAATACAGGCCAGCAAAGATGCAGCATCCACTAAAAAGGACAACACTGGCCTTTGTGAAATCATTGAGCAAGATTTAAAATTATCAAAGCACTAAGTTTCAGAGTTAATAATCTCTCAAATTAGGTTATCATATTTCACCTTGTCAAGATCATGAAGGAAGGCACACTTCACATTTTTTAAGATTGTTTTTGCAGTAATAAGAGTCAAGAGACCATTTTCCCTTTAAACAAAAGTTCAGATTTCAGAACCAAATGCTATGGCAAAGGATAAATTTAGAAGATGTACAATTCTAGAAAACAGAAGATTTTTGCTAAATTATCTACCATGTTCATGCTAGGAAATCAGCACTATTTTCAAAGTCTTAGCATCTTTCTAAAAAAGATTATTTGAACATAGCTCTAATTATAAAATGGTACCACATTTTTATTAGGCGTGTTCCTAATTTGAGATATACATAAAATATGCAGAGAAAATTATGAGCAGCTTTCCAACAGGAACTGAATCCACCTCCAGAGAAATATGTAAATCTACTAAACCACAGACCAGATAGAGCTTTAGGACTATTAAAATATGGATGCTTACTAAGTTTCTACTTAATAGCATAGCCAAGAAACAATGTCTCAAACAAAGCTCTAGCTATGGCCTGCCAGAAAAAGTCGGCTTTACTCCCTTCAAGCAGCTGTGGTCTAGAAAGCAACACTAGCCAACATCTATCACCATCAAATGTTTAAACAAAACCACATCATTCCTTTCTCAGATTTTCCTTCTTGCTATCCCTTATAAAGTGCAGTGCTCGTATTCTTCCAGCATTTCCTCATAAAGCCCATGGTTCTAAAATTACAATATGCTACTGATCCTCAAGCAAGAGATTAAGTCATCACAAGGGATACAGTGATCTGTCTAATTAAGGTAAGGAAGACATGATATTTTTGAAGGCCAGCCTTAAAGAAACACATTCCTTCATAATTTCACCACCTATAACGTGTATATGGTGCCAGCATAAAGTGAGAAGTTGACACCTTCTCATGTCCACCACTTCTCTTATGTCTTAGTCATTGCCCTGTAGGGAAATGTGCTGGTCTTCATTTCCGTGCTGATTGCTGTAAGCTTTGACTGGTATTACCAAAGTAATTAGTGAAGAACTGCTGCCCATGGGAAGGACCCACTCTGGAGCAGTTCTGTATCCTGTGGAAGGAGCCCCACGCTGGAGCAGGGGAAGAGTGGGAGGAGGAAGGAGCAGCAGAGATTAAATATTATGAAGTAACCACAACCCCCATTCCCCATCCTCCTGCACCAGCTTGGGGATGGAAAAAACAGAACACCTAGGAGTAAACTGAAACTGAGTAGGAAGAGGTGGGGAAAGCGGTTTTTAGTCCTGTCTTTCTTTCTCACTGTCCTACTCCATTTTAACTAGGAAAAAAAATCAAATTAATCTCCCCCAAGTTAAATCTGTTTTGCCCGTGATGGTAATCCATGAGTTACCTCCCTCTCCTTATCTCAACACATGAGTTTATTTTCTTCCCCTATCCTGTTGACAAGGAAGAGTGAGACAGCAGCTGGATGGGCATCTGGCAGCCAGCCAAGGTCAAAATTTCACTTCCCAATAATAGCAACTAACCCCACCGGTGGAAATAAAAGCCAAAAGAGCACCTGTAATAGCCCGTTAGAGATCACTTACTCCAGCTCCCAGTGAACAGAAACTTGAGCATATGGGCTGAACCACTGCCTGTGTGATGAGGGACCCACTCCTGCTTCTGCTCTTACCATTCAGAAGACAATCCAGATTCAGCTGTGAGAAGGCATACAGGACAGCACATTTCCAGTTTGGTGGTTTTCCATGTTATCTTCATCTGGGGTTCACACTAACCAAACTGAATATTACCAGCAGATAAATAGCAGTGGTGTCCTAAGGAGAGCAAACAAATATTTTTCAGCAGGTGGAATATTTCACAGAAGCAGAAGGGTTGGTTTATTTCTTTAATATGAATATATTGTTTTGAGAGGAATCTTAGGGAAATGCATATCTAAAGATCCTTCACGCTGAAAATCTTTAAATCCTCCTTACAGTCAAAGATGGGGTGAATGACAAAATTAGGCATGGAAAGGTTTGGCTTGAGAAAGTTATTTCAAACTGAGCTTTTCTAGTCAAACACACCTTTTCTAGTCAAGAAGCATCACTTCAAAGGACACTGGACTAATAGCATATCAACTGCTGTATGGAGAGTTTTTTCCCTGCTTGGCTTTTTCCAAAGATGATTATAGAGTGGCATATGTGAGGGGGTACAAACTCCCTCCTGTTTCTGTTACCTTTAGTAATGACCAGTTAGTTTTCACTGAGAGGGAGGGGAAGTAAAAAATCTACTAAGTTTCTACAGTGTTTTTGAAGACCGCAATCAGAGCATGGACAATAAATTTGAATAGTACCCTCATGAGAGAAAAGCTAAATTCCGAGTCTGGTTTTCAATACACAGAGAAGAAACCACTCATATCAAAGATATGGTAACAGAGACTAAATTGCCTTTATTCCCATTTAGAAAACCAGATTTCACCTCTAACTGGATGTGAAAGGATCCAATTACACTCCATATGACACATGCACATCCGCACCCACAAATACTCTTGGTAAACCAGGCCTCACAAGCCTCAGTGTTCCTGAATGTATTTCAGTGTTAAAAACTAATACATGTTTCTCTCCTTTCTTCAGCAACAAAGGCACTTTATGCTCAGTTAAACCCCATTCTTATTTGGATTGACCCCAGAAAGCTGGGGGACAGCTTCGAAAACAGAAATATCAAGATGTCAGTCAGCAGTCCCTGGGTTCTTTGGCTCACCAAACACAGCCTCAGTCTGCCCTAGGGAGAAAGTAAGTGGGTGTGTAAATGCAAAACATAACATTTCAAGTAATCTGTTTTGAGCCATAACAGCATTTGCCATACTTATTTAAAACCACAGATCATTTCCACGGAGAATACTACAAGACAAAAAAGACAAATCACCCTACTGCATGCCAAAACCATCTCCATCTTTGTAGTAAGGAATTGAAAAAGGGTGCAAGCACAGGGATACACACCCCAGAATGACCTGCACATATCCCCTCCTATAAATGTCTAAGTAAGCAGGCACTTTTAACCTCATTTCTAAGCTCATACTGCACACTGCCATGTAAAGATAGTTCCTTCTCCCATACAAAGTTGAAGCAGCTTAAAACATGATTCAAAATCTGGCAATTTATGCCACTTTTTCCATTTGCTGACAGGAATACAATTTTACAATTTCAAATTATCTTCTGTGGTCGCTCCTGTGCATTGCCATATAAAACAATGTCAGTATTAGTCCCTTGTGCTGCAAGAGGGCATTAACACTACTACATCAAATGTGCAGTGTCAACAAGTAAATCATGGAGAGGAGTTGACGAGCTGAAAATTGAACCTACCTTTCAGTACGGCTGGAAGACCGACAGTCTGGATGGTTACCATAGTAATCCTGTGGCAGCTTCAGATTTATTGCCTTGTACTGCACAGTTACAAAGCTTCTTCAGCTACCTTCTGCACTGTTTCCAGAGTCAAGAGGAATTCTATGATAAATGTCCACTACCCAAAAGATACATTCAAGGGGATGTAATGCAGGAAAGCTGTACTTTAAATGCAAATTACATGCTTTTTGCCCCTTTTAGAATATTAAAGAGCAATTTCAAAGGAATGAAAACAAAGAACTCTGACCTCTGACACCATGATTCTTTGCTCTACAGATCACAATTTTCTGTGGGACTGCCTACTGCATATTTAAGTACCATGCAACTGAAAATGGAGTAATAAAATCCACCAAAGATAGTCTGAGTAATGCATTGATTATGAAAATAAGCACACAACTGAGAATTACTAGAGCAGGCAGTCACAGGGTCTTGTTAGTATATTTAGATCATTCTGTAACCATTAGAAATTAAATTATTTCATTATATCTAATTTATATTCCTTTTTGTTTTCAATAACACAAAAGGATATCACTATGTGTAATATATGACAAATTAGTATTCCAGTATTCACACTCTATGCCATAAAGAGCATGCATTAATGTTACCAGATTGCATTAGATTTTAGTTTACCTCCATGATAGGCTTTAGAGGAAAACACTGATAATTTGCCGTTTATTACTACCCTAAATATTGCTTTCAGCTCTGTTCAGCGACAAGAAAAGAGCAACTTCTTCTCTTGTTAGTAAACATTGCAATTCATGAAATATTCCATTATATTTTACTGTATTTTTTATGTCCATAATTCTCTTTGATTGCACAGCAATAAAAGGCTGAGGGAACACAGGCTATCTTTTCTACCAAGTGCAGAAGCACCACGCACTAATTTGTGTATTAGCAATTCCCACGTGAACACTACATTATTGATTCTGCCATCTAAATTCCACTATATGACAGGAAGGATATTGTGTGTAGGATTAATAAAATTATTTCCTCAAGCAATATTTTTTAAAGCATTGATTGTGTACTTTTACTTCAGAAAAGCATCTCACAAATGTACATTACAATGTGAAAACAAAATAGTGCTGTGGTGCAACATAGTAAATACAAATGGAGACATGCTGTGTGACACCAATTCTGTAATAAGCCTGTGTATTAAAACATCAGGCTAAAACTGCTTTCAAAACACAAAGGGAGATGCATACTTTATAGATGTTTCATGCAAAAGGACACAGCACACATCTGATTAGCAGAACACATATTGACATTGTAAGGTACCCTATCCCAAAGACAAACAGCACAAGGTTTACAGACTGCTGTTTGCAACCATGCAGCCCGAATTTTGTGAACTCTGTACTGCAGAAACAGAGCCCCCATTCAAGTCTTTGCTTTTAAAGACAAATTGAGAAAACATTATCTGAAGTGTCATCTCTTGCTTGTAAGATAAATAAAGGGGAGACTTTGCCTGGCTTACTTTATCCCAGAAAAACCAAGGCACTCTTAGGCAGGGTTTCTATAAGAGATGGTTACACATGAGCAAATGCCATTTATTTTCATTAAATTTGGGCTGCCCAATCTGCAGGATGGGCATGTAAATGTGTCGTCCCCCCCCCCAGAAACCAGCACACTAGAAGAATTTTTTAGTTTTAAATCAAGTATATTTTGAAACAAATACTAATGAAAATAGAAGAATTATTAAAAAAAAAAACACATAAGAAAAGAAAAAAAAAGTACAGGAAAAAGCAGGTAAAAAAAAATATTCTAAGAACTATATGTACTCCCTCTCTGCAAAGCCTGACTGTAGCTGAAGCAACCTAAATGAAATGAAAAGTTCATCAGATCAGGCCATGGTTCCTGCCTCCCTATGTCCTTTCCTTCATAACATGTTTTTTAATGACTCTGTATGCAGATATCAGGATAACCAAATGGAGTTCTACACCTGGTGACAGGGTCTGTGGCAGTGGCTCTGCGATGGAGCAAGGCTCTGGGTGTGGGTGTAATAGCCCATGCACTGATTGTTGAATGCTCTCCTGTACAAGCAGCAAAACCCACCCCCACATCCACTGAGGCCAGGCCACTTGATGGAGCCAGTGCCAAAGCCCCTCTGCTTCCTCTCAGCATCCTCAGATTTCCTCTAGCAGTGAAGGAAGTGCAAGGTGTGAGCAAGCCTTCATCCTGGTCTTTATTTTACTTTTTATGCTGACCAGAGGTCTGGTCTTCACGGGTTACACATGGACCCAGAGGCCCTGAATCTACAAAGCTATAATACATTATCACAACCGGTGTTCAGTTGTATTTTTGCCCATTAATTGCTGTGCAATGAGCTGGGGGTCCTTGCATCCTCCCTACCTGGACCTACACATACCCATGTGTACACCCATGGACTATCACAGAGAGATATCCTAACTGTGGTCCTATTTCTCCTACCACACTTCAGTGTAGCAATATACAAAGTGACAGTGCTCACAGAATAGGTTTCTTACTGTATGTTATTATCCTTATAAAAAGTGTGCTGCATGGAGGGATCTAAAAGAGTTCTCCCAAGACCAAAGTCTGGTTAATGTTCCACAGGAATGGCAGGTTCAATCCCACAACAAGTCCCAGAAAATTAATTTCTCAGTAGCTGACTGAGAAGCACAGAATCAGGCATTATTAGAACTCAAGGATGGCATTAATAAAACATAAGGAATAGAAACAGATCAAATATGTAAGACTCAACAGCTGGTTGTCAATGAATTCATGTTGCTCGTCAGACACTATTACATGCTGTTCTAATCACTCACCAGGAAATATTTCAATGCAATATATTTTAGGTCACAAAAATATTTATTTCTGTTCTATATAAAAAATTATTAAAAAACATAAATGCAGCCATATGTTTCTTTTTCTCTTCTTATCTCTTCTAGTCTAAAGAACTTCTATTCTGCAAAGGGCAGGAAAGGATCAGGGATCAGTTCTCCTTATTGACTGTACACACTAGCCAATGCTGGGTCCTTTTCTGTCTGAGCAATGACAGCAATGTGACATTTTCAGGCAGCAGTGTTTGCTGACATCATGAATCACTTTAATGCCATTTTCTGTTATCAGCAGCCATTTAAATAAAAGGCTATGAAGGAAAACAGAGCTATGCAGACCCCAGGCTATGCCCAGAACTTTGCCTACCTTTCACAGACTTGGGATAACTCAGTGCAAGGCTTGATGCAGAATTTGCTGCAGATCAGCAGTCTCATTGTCTGCCATGCTGCAGATAATAAAAATAACAATTTTTGACTGCACATGCAATCACAAGATGCAATGTGAATTGAAATGAAGTGACAGCAGAATGCAGCCTTTATCCTGAGAAATAATTCGGTTTTTCCTCTGCAGGAAAAAAAGAAAAAAAAAACCACAAAAAATAATAATAATAAAAAAAAAAAACAGTGAGATAAGTGAAAAAT